GTGAACAATAAAATTCACAGTGAGATGCAGCACAGTCTGTAAAAGGTAGTACCAAGTGTACTTGCATCCCTATCTTGGAGTTCATCGTGTTCCTGTTACACAAGCGAAACAAAGCCACCACCCACCAATCCTCTCCAAAACTAAATTTTTGCTTTAACTCTTGATCTGGTTTTTAAACACACCACTTCTTCAGAGCCTGTTGATGCTTTTCTGGCACTGGCCAGAAGGGATTTCTGTCCCTACTTCTAAGCTGAGCACTGGAATTGGGGGTAGCTCCACTTCACGGTGTATGAGGGGAAGGGGGCTCACTGCAAGGCAGATCAGAGGCTAAATCCTGGTCCTGGTTGGCTCTTTTAATTTTCTTCTTGTTTTTAAAAAAGTTCAAGGGCCAAGTCTCTTCCATGGTCCCTCATATTGAGCTGTGAGTGGGTAGAGCTAATGGTAAAAATGTCTTCAGGATCAACACTTCTTTCATTTATGAAGGAGAAGAAAAATAGTTAAAATGCAGAGTATTTTTAAAGTTTTGTTCCTAAACTTATATCTACATACCTGAGTAGAAATTAAATTATTTTGAAAAAGTTCTTGGAACATTCACTTACTCAAGGAAGGTACACCAGTGCCTTGAATATTAAATTCTGCTCCTCAAAAGACCATGCAGTGGATTTCTGTGCCTGGGGAATTTGAACCCTGTTACACTTAAGGTCTTTTTAAAATGGTGCTCTCTGCCTAACTGGAGACTAGGGAGCCTAAATCTAAACACCATTTGTTTCCAACATTTTGGTCTCAACTACAATCAATTTTTAAAATGTAACTAAATATGCCCACCATGATTTCTAGGTATTACTATGAAGACAACCTCAGCAGAGGGTTGAATCACCATTTTGATGCAATTAACTCCAGACTCAAACTGAAGTACTCTAGCAGGCCAGTCTGAGGCATCTCTAAAACTCCTAGGCCTGTATCCTTCACCCCTAACAGGCAACAGAAAAAAAACCCTAAACATTTCAGTTAAATCTCTGTAGTTTACAAGTGTGTAAATCCACAGCACAACTGCACAGAAACAAGCAGTGATTCCTTCCTCTGAAGTTTATTCCCTGAAAAGAGCATAAAAATATGAAAGCTTATGTATTTTAAAGTCTGGTAGGAATTCAGGAAAAATAAGCCATAATTATACTTTGCTCCTGTTCTGGCCTTCTGATTAAGAAAAAGCAGTACAGGCAACTTTCATATGCCCAGTTGTATTTGCTCACATTCAGCATCAATGACCAGCTTTCCAGATACCAACAGATTTTCTGTAAACAGGGGTTTAGAACAGATATCTATACTTCACCTGTAAGTGTTGGTCCTTGGAATTTTAGTGGCACTAAAAAAAAAAATCCTCTAGCACTTTATATAGCTAGTTACTAGCTAGTTACAGCTAGTCCAAGAACAACTCAACTCTCTTGCAATGTCTACAACTAAATTCAATAAAGCATTGAGATGCCCTATATGAGCCTCTTTTGCTTTCCCCAAATCAAAAGCATTTTATTTCATACTTAAAATACACTTGGTTGATTCTAGAAGTAATACTAAGCCTGGTTCTACTTTGTGTTATACCTGTTAAATATTTTCAGCAGACTGGATTTCCACATCCTTTCCTGAAGTGCAATCAAACCATCTGGGTACCCTGTGCAAGCCCCACAGAAACACACTAAACCCAGGACCTCACACAGCATTTAATAAAATCTTATTAGGATTGGCCTTTCTCAAAATTGATGTGACACACATTTTTTTATTATTTCACTGCAGATATACCTTACCAGAAAAGGCTTGGCAATGATGACAGATCCTGTGAGAATTTTCAAGAGCATATCCCAGTGATTACTACAATGGCTGATTTTATAACTATGAGAAAATTTCTCTGTTTTAACAACCCTGTGTTTTATGTTCTGAACTGTACAGGATTTTTTTTCTATTCCATTTTACTGTAGTACACTAAAACATTATGTGTGTGCGCAGCAGATCATACAACTACACCCTTCAACTAAGCTCTTTTAAAAAAGTTGAAGCCAACATAGATGGTCCCTTTCAAATAAAACATGGACATTTTCTTCTAAAGACCATCTAGAAAGAAAACCACTGGCATCAGCACAGTTTAGCTAACGACGAGATGGCACAACCTTTCACCAGGTCATGCATCCAATACCTGCTATCCTTCCACTTCTGATACTGAAACTTAACACCAAGGATGCCAAACCATAAACATATACTGGGAAACTTATCACGTCAAAGACATTGTTCATAACCACCTCAAGCACCTTTTCTTTTTGTCCCACTTTGAGGTTCAGTTCTCAACCTGTCAAGGTACAAACTGCTTGTTCAGTTAAGGCAAAAAGCCAAAAACCTCATTGCTTGGTATTTGGTTCATCTACATCCGATCAACACAATGTTTCTGTGGAACATTTATTACACTAATTGCTGGACAAGCACCTGTTATTTGTGGTCATGGACCACATTGGCATTCCCAAGTAATAAGACAAACAACAAGAAATGAACCTTAAAGAAGCAGGTTGGTGCAATGCACAGATACCAAGAGCAGACGCAGGAAATATGGAGGATAATCTCCAAATTTAAGTTCATCTCTTAAGAGCTACAGGTATGAACATTTAAACAGATCAAGTGACATTATTGATGTCTAAATTGCACACTTGTATGGCAATACCATTTTTGTATTGTATGGCCTTTGCCTTGAGCAAATAAACATCCTCTATAGTTAAGGATGGAATGGAAGCTCTGTCCAGGGCTGCTAAATTTCCAAAACACTTTTGCAGGACTAATATGTATATATATATCTCTATAAATTCACTGCTGCAGTCAGTAATAGCTAAGCTTAAATGTCACTGTGATAAAAGTCTTGCTTAACTCATAGTGCACTGTGAAAGATGTAGAGCTGCCCATTGCTCCAATGACTCCCTACATGGACCAACAAATTCTAAATTACTTAATTAAAACAGCCATGTTGTAATCTGTCTGTACGCCCTAAGTGTGGCACTATGTCACAACAGTCATACATGAGTGGATTGTTAATATTAACATAAATACAAGTCTCAGTAAAGTAAGAAAGATTAATGATCACATTTGTATGTTTTTCAATGTCACATTACAAATGTTTAGCAGAACAGAGCAGCTGTGTTTGCACCTGCACTTCATGAGGTGACAGTGATTACGTCACAGTGTGTAAAAGTGTGGCCACTGGTACTTACCAGACAACACAATGTTCAGATGATACCATGGAGTGACACCTAATCACCTCTAGAGTCAATCTGAGTGCACAAGGCACTGAGTTTTTCTATTGATTTCTGTGAGCAAGATGTTGTGTATTTGTAAAAGACCTATTACATACATATATTTGCAGTTTATAATGAACCTGGTTTATGAAGGTTATACAGCAATGAAAACTATATCCACAACTGGTAACAGGTTGTTTTAGAGAAAGAAGAAAGAACTTGCCTGTCTAGAAATAGAACACTTGACAAACAACATTCACAAAGTACTTCTGCACCAGTATCTACTGGAGTTTCCACCAGCATCCCTCCAACTAGTGTGTCCTCACAAAGCTAGTAACAGAAAGTGGCACAAAGGCTAATATCAGTCCAGCTCACTTTCTACTGCCTACAGTTTTATGATTCACATTTTCAATTTAATATTCACATCCTCAGACCATCAAAGAGCTCAGACACATCTGCAGCATGTGCAGCATGTAAAGCCCCTCTAGCTTTACAGGTGAAAATGAGTCATATCATCAAAAGTTAGTATCACGCCTCTGATTCTGAACATACTCTGGAAGACATGTAAGTAGGGGAAATGTATTAGGAATAAGGGGGAGAAAACTGGTAAGAAATCTAATTAAAGAGAAATTTTGGACTGTTACTCAAAAAGCATTATACTGTCTGTACAGTGTGAAAACTCCTGTTTTCCTTAGCAGAAGAAAGGGAAAAAGCCTAGAAGTTAAGAGTGGATTCTCAATCATAATAACATCAACGTTGTGAATGCTGGCAAATATTAAATGAAGAAAGAATAGGTGTAATCTGTAAACCAAGGACTGATATCAGCAAACTTAAAGCAAACCCACCTTCTATCACTAGCTCAGCAAGAGAGGTCAGCCTAGGAAACTGATTCTTTCAGGCTTTTATACCTTAGTCTCAGAGATTCTCACAACATCTGAAAACACAGCATTGATATTTAAATATCAGTATCGTAAAAACCCAAAGAGTTTTAAAAATAAAACATAGTCATGTAGTTGGTCAATGTTTCAAGGACAGACAAGTTAGGATTAGGTAAAAGATTCCAAACCTTCTCCCTCAAATTCTCCCGCCTCTTGAGAGGCCAAAGAAACATAAGTTTGAAATATTCCAAGGTCACCTCGCTCCTCAGGTGCAGGCATGAGTGTAGGAGTCCACAGTGTGAGTTCTTCTCCCCAGTGGCAAGCACCGAAACAATTGTGCAGGATAAACAGCAAAGTGATACTTCAACCACATTTGTGAAGAATTATGGGCATCTCACCGGTCAAGATGCACAGCTGCCATTGCTGTGGTAAAATGCCTCAAGCCAATGCCCTCAAACAAAATATCATTACATTAGTTACCAAGTACTCACCATGCCTGCGGCTGCTTCAGCTGTGGCATCAGTGAAGGAGAGTTTGTTATGGGATAGCAAGACCATCAAAGCAGAGCTGAGCTACAGCTCCAGAACCTTTACGGATCTGAGATAATTTTGATGGAGCCATCAAGTTTTCCCTGACTCACATCACTGCTTCAGGCTCCCAGAGGGGTGAGAATTCACATCATTTACCTTCTTGGTGCAGGGTTTTAAATCAGAGATTCTTTTTGAGAATTGTTTTAGCTGTACATCTGTTTTTCGAGAGGTAGTAAGAGGCAATCTGCAATTTTGACCAAGGGTGGTTGGTATCCAGGCACCCTCACAGACACACTGACCCCGGTTTGCTGTTTCACAGGACAGAGTTTACACATCAAAACCGAACAACTTGATTTATTTAAAATTCACCTCAAAATGCATCGTGTTTAGTTTCTTTTTTAAAATGAACATTCAAAGCATCAAAATATTACTAATTTAAAAAGAATCTTTGTTAAGAATAAGATAATTTACATACTGTAGATTGTGGCTGTGAGGGGAGAGAAACAACCGATGGTAGATTAGGCACAGTACTAAGGCCAACATGCCAGAAAACAATGCAGCTCTATGCTCAACTTTTAAATGATCTGGACAAAATAAAACAATTGGGTGGGAAAACTAAACCAACCACTTACTTGAGGGTGTTTGTGTAAAATGAGAGTGTTAGTAAGATTTCTATCTAGACCTAACTCATTCATGTATTTAAAAAAATCTCTATCTTCTTCCAAATAACAAAAAAATGTTTCTAAAACCAAGGCAGATTATTATTTGGAACTGGCATAGTAAAATAAAGGATCACAGTATACAGAGCTTAAAATCCTGTACCAGGAAAGAGCAACAAGTGGTTTATAAGGGGATCATTTAGGTATATTATCTAATTTTTAAAAACAGAGATATAAAATATCAGTTGCATAGGGATTTAAATATAAGGCCAAGCAGGAGATTAAAGTAAAATAGAGCTCATAAGAAGGGCACTATGGTGTCAAAACATAGTATTTCCATTTGAATTAATGTCTAATTCAAAATCACAGTATTTTGCTAGTACTACAAAAAGTGAATGTCAAACTGTCCCATTAATCTCAAACTGAAAACTGACATTAGAACTTCTAAATAGTACAAAACTAAAGCTCATTGTCTAAACCTGATCAGTGTATTAGCACAACAGTGCTTGGTACGTACCTGATTTATATACTCTACCTTCTGTAAATAATATAAAGGTTATTTCTTGTTAATAAGTGTGAGATCACAATATTACTGCATGCCATCAGTGGTTTGCAGGCTTACTTGATATTTAATTATTCAGTCTTTGAAAGTGTAAGATCCCACCCTGCAGAATCTTCACCCATTGAACACAGAACACTGTCATTAATAAAATACAATAGAAGTTCCACCACTAACAACTAACATATAAGCCAGGATTGTAGGTCTAAACCCAGTACAGTTCATTATTATTAACTCACAGCAATTTTTGTTAGGAAGGTAACCTGTAGACTTCCAAATAATCTTGTGTGTATTAAATATAAACAAGTATGTAACTAACGGTCGTCTCTTGGCATTTCAAGTAGATTATTCAATTGTGAAAGTACTTCTGCAAAATCAATTTTGAGTTGTTAAAATGAAGTTCAAATATTAATTTCCATATCTACATGTAGCTTAATTAACCTAAAATTGTAAGGAATAGTAGTGTAAGGAAAAAAGAATTCTCCAGATGAATTAGGCATTAAGGTATACTTACTGGGAATACCTGAACCAACATTGTAACTGAAAAAGTGCATAAACATGGTAATACTACAAATGTGTTAACTACAGAACAAAAGGTTTTCTGAAAGCTAAATGATATTATTTTACATGTTATTTACAGGCTGCGATTTTTCCAGACACCACAGAGGCAATTTATGATCTGAAAAGTTCCTTTGATATATTCAAAGTGTCCCTTGGCTTCCATCCTATTCGGTCAAGAACCTGCTCACACACCAGTGAATCAGGTGCTGTACAGCTGAACAACACTGCCATTGTGGTTCTGTAATTCTTCAGAATTCAATTCTTCCCGTTCTTTCAAGACAGAGCAGTATTTTCACTTCACGCTTTTCGTAGGTGTTTCAGACTCCGTAGACTGTCTCCCATCAGTCCAGGCCTCTCGTGTGCTCTTCAGTGCTAACGTTTTCTGCTGGTCGACCACCACGTAATCAACTCTCTCGTCCGCCACGCTGCTGCCCGAGCCACTGCTCTTCTTCTGGAAAAGGCAAGGAAGAGGGAAAAACATGTTAAAATAAATTACCAGCAAAAAGTAAGTAGATGTCCCAAACAGATACAGAACAAGCAGAGGTTCTCCTGAAAGGTCTGACACTGTCTCTTGGATTGACTATTTGAGAAAGTAGTTAAGCCTTTGACACCATCTCCCACAGCATTCTCCTGGAAAAGCTGGCAGCCCACGGCTTGGACAGGGACACTCTGTGCTGGGTTAGGAACTGGCTGGAAGGTCGGGCCCAGAGAGTGGTGGTGAACGGGGCTGCATCCAGTTGGCAGCCGGTCACCAGTGGTGTCCCCAGGGATCAGTGTTGGGCTCAGTCCTGTTTAATGTCTTTACTGATGATCTGGATGAGGGGATTGAGTCCATCATCAGCAAACTTGCAGATGACACTAAGTTGGGGGGCAGTGTCGATCAGCTGGAAGGCAGGAGGGCTCTGCAGAGGGACCTGGACAAGCTGGAGAGTTGGGCTGATTCCAATGGGATGAGGTTCAACAAGGCCAAGTGCTGAGTCCTGCACTTTGGCCACAACAACCCCCTGCAGCGCTACAGGCTGGGCACAGAGTGGCTGGAGAGCAGCCAGGCAGAAAGGGACCTGGGAGTTTGGACTGACAGGAAGCTGAACATGAGCCAGCAGTGTGCCCAGGTGGCCAAGAGGGCCAATGGGATCCTGGCCTGGATCAGGGACAGTGTGGCCAACAGGTGCAGGGAAGTGATTCTTCCCCTGGACTCAGTGCTGGTGAGGCCACACCTGGAGTGCTGTGTCCAGTTCTGGGCCCCTCAGTTCAGGAAGGATATGGAGGTGCTGGAGCAGGTCCAGAGAAGAGCAACGAGGCTGGTGAAGGGACTGGAGCACGAGTCCTATGAGGAGAGGCTGAGGGAGTTGGGGTTGTTTAGCCTGGAGAAGAGGAAGCTCAGAGGAGACCTCATCACTCTCTACAACTCCCTGACAGGAGGCTGTAGCCAGGTGGGGGTTGGTCTCTTCTCCCAGGCAGCTCTCAGTAAGACAAGAGGGCATGGTCTTAAGCTGTGCCAGGGGAGGTTTAGGTTAGATGTGAGGAAGAAATTCTTTACAGAGAGGGTAATCAGGCATTGGAATGGGCTGCCCAGGGAAGTGGTGGATTCTCTATCCCTGCAGGTTTTTAAGATGAGACTGGCTGTGGCACTTAGTGCCATGGTCTAGTAACCATGGCAGTGTCTCAGAGGTCTTTTCCAACCTGGCTGACTCTGTGATTCTGTGATTTTGCTGGAGGCTCCCTCTTTCCCAGCAACTACTTGTGAATCGATTTTAAACTCTTGATGGCAGGACTGCAAGAGCTGAAGATCTGCTTACCTTACGAGGTGGGGTAGATTTTCCAGAATCTAGGTCCAGATCTAAATACTCTACTTGTTTGTCTCCTTTAGGTTTTACCATAGGGCTGCTTCCTCCGTCAAGACTGTTGCTTCCAAACAAATTCTGAAATCATAATATAAATAACTTCAGCTACAAATGTATGTGCTAGTGGTCCACATGATCAAATATGCCTATTATAAAACTGCCAAAAGCTTAAAGGTTAAAAAAGTGACTAAGAGTTCTTGCAATCAGTTAAATCATGCAAATTTCATTGACTTTGTAGAACAAGGGGGTATATTCTATGTCAAAACTGGGACAGAGTCAATAGCCAATGGAAGGGAAAAACCCAGAAACCAACCCCCCAAATTTAATGTTGCCACCAAACCCATCTGTGCCTTCCACCTAATGTCCCCTTCGTATCATAAGAATGGAGTGTGCTTTGTTCTTTTTAATTGTAGTTGTTATATCTCAAATTTAGCATTACTTAATTGCCAACTTTTTTATTTCCTTAAATTGCTGTTTAGTACCTACAATAATTCCAGCTTTACAGTAGTGGCAAAACTTAAAATGAAACTTTTACATTTCATTCAAAAGTCATCATGATTAAGCTGAAAATCAAAAAGTATTATTCCATTGTTAAGATCAAAATATTAAAACTTTGGAAAATATGTGTAGGGCTGCCTGAAGTGAATTTGCATTGTATATACCTAAATTTCAATTAGCTCAGACTTTTACGACCTCACCTCCTCTGTCCTCTCCCAGCCTGATCCCTCCCTCTTAACAGGTGTTATAGGAACAGTACAATAGAAGGACTCTTCTCTAAAAGATAAAGAAAAAACAGGAAGACAGAGGGCAGCAGTCAGCAAAAAATGAAGAGGAAGGCAGAAGGAAAGACAGAAGGGTAAGGCTGACAGCAACTTGAAAGAAAAAGCAGAATATTGCTGATTTTATTAAATAAAACAGAAGTATGACATGTCCAAACAAGATGCTTCGAAGCTGATGACAGGAAAAGATGAAGAAGTATGGACTCCTTGCTCAGACAGAGTTGCAACAAATAAAAATTCTCAAAAAGTCTATTTAATAGGCAGATTTTAAAACAAAGGCTGTGAGTTATCTGGAAACATTCTGGTTCTCTAGGAAATAAAATATTTTATGGGTTAAAGCTCAATGGGCTGGGCTTTTTAGATTGAATTTAAATTTGTATCATTCAATTAATTTAATATTAAGTGGTAACAAAGGGCAACAAACACAAACAATTGATACAAACTTCATTTTTGTTGCCAAATTCTCTAAACAAATTTCTGCATATTTAACATACAAAAATCAGATTCTGTATCAATGTTTCCAGCATAAATTAAAAACCAAAAAATAATCTGTTATTTCAAACAAACTAGGCAGGCAGAACATAGGCATTAGAAAACAAACTTTAAATATAATACAAATGAAACTGAAAGGAAATCTGCAGAACAACCTTAAAGAAGGAACGGTGCAAGCGAACAGAAGATATTAATGACAGGCTGAGCCATGGCATTAATTATACCATCCTGGCACTGGCGTTAAATCCCTGAAACAGCCTTAAGGATCCACAGAAATCCCCAGTTTGAACTGTGATTCTGTGCAGGGAGAACGGCGGGTGGCACTAATCCTTTGTGTAAAATGGGATGTTTCCTGCGCCTGTGAAAGGGGAACGTCACCGGTTACTTACCAACGGCCCTTGCAAGAGAGGGGCTCGGTTCTAACATCACCAGCAACCCACTGCTGGGGCACATTTGTCCTGGGAAGCACACCTGCACTGCCCGCGGGTCAGACATGGCACAAAGCACGGCTCGGGATGCTCCGCAGGCTCCTGAGCCGCCAGAGCTGCCCCGGGGGAGTCAGCAGGAGGGGCTCGCTCAGGGGGTATCCAGAGGCAGCAGTGGTGAGCTGAGGGGAGGGAGGCTGGAGGGGACTGGGAGGGGATCCAGAGCAGCAGGGGACAGGGAAGCAAACATCGCTGCGAGAGGAGGGGTCCAGGGGGTAGCAGGGACATGGGCCAGCACATGCCATATAAGGAGGCGGACAAACAAACAGGACAAAAACGGTGCTAGACAGGCCCTCCCCAAAGAAGGTCGTTCATAAGTGCTTTAAAAATGAAAAATGCTGCTGTATTCCCTAGGAAGAGCCCAAGCTGGAAAACATGGTGAAGGCACTGAACCAGGCTGGATGGGGCTTTGAACAACCCGGTCCTTGCCCATGGCACAGGAGGCTGGAACTAGGTGATCTTTGAGGTCCCTTCCAATCCAAACCATTCTATGATTTTATACTGAACAAAAAGCTGAGCTCAAGATTCAGGTTTTCCTCCAGTGTTTTATGGGTATTCTAGACCACATTTCAGTTTAGGCCTAGATCTACTGCTATTCTCTTTCTTTATACTACTATTATTGTGTCTTCTTTTTCTCTCTCTCCTTTTCCCCCACCCCCAAAGAAAAACCACAGCATGCATCACTAACTTTTCCTAACTAGGTCTTCAGTTACTGCACTGCACGTGAAACTTTATTATCTGAGAAAGTTCTCCCCCAAAGGGGAAAAAATACAGATACTCAATACACACAGACTCCTTCTATCCTCTTCTTTGAAAGAAGCCTAATAGAAGTACACATGGCTCTGTTCCCATAGAATGCAAACAACAAATATCAATCTTTTTTTTTCCCCCTGTTCCTTCCACATTTCTTGGAAGATGTCCTTTTAATACAGTTTTTTTTAAGCATGTCTCAGAGGTTTTTAGACAGTTTCTTTCCCTTGATGTCATAATACTGAATTGGTACATAGCCCAAGGACAAGCCATTATAAAGAGGAGACAGTTTCTAGGGAAGAGGTAGGAAAAAAAGTAATGCCTTGAATTGCTTTGTATAATAGATGTGTGTATCAACCATTCTCTTTATATGTGACTATGCTCTTAACTTCTTCAGGGACATCTTACCAAAATTACAGGTTTTCTACGGAATTTTTTTATTATTATTTTGATCTGGAAGTATCAAGGGAGTGATGTTGAGCGAAGGATCTGTGTTTGCATGATTTAAAAGTAAGGACTGCACAGGAAGAGAGTAGTTAAGACGTAGATTTTACATACTGGGTCTTCAGTGGACTGATTTGGATTCATGGATACATAATTCTCTTCACTGTCGTGCGAGTCACTGCTGGAAGTTGTGCTATGAACTGAATCCGGTCTGGGAGACACGGGAAACCTGGAGGAGCTAATTACCAGGAATTATTTTACAAACAATACATCTCGAATATCTTAAACCTCCTGGTAAACAACAAAAATAAGCATATTAGAGCGGAAATTTTCATTCAAGTTTACTAGAGTGTCACATTTTTTGGTTATACACAGTCCCTTATATTTAATATTACAAAATAAAAATTCACATGGACACATTTTGTTTCAATATATAGACACACACACACACACACATATAACACAATTCCAAAGGAAACTTCAATTTGTATTACACAGGCTAAAAATATAATACACACACACATTTATTAACTTTCTAGTGAACAAAACCAATTAATCCGAATAAGGAAAATCTAAGAAACTTACTCTCGTGCAAAGCTTCTGGTGATAGGAGATCTAACTGGGGCTTGTAATTCTTCCCATTCAGGCAGAGGTTTTATTTCTAGTGGAGCTGGTTTTGCTAAGTAAGAAACAGACAATCTTAAAGCACAGAACATTCCAGAAAAAAACTTTTATATAGTAAATTTTAAATTGTAAATACTAGTTAGGAAAAGGAGACACTGTTCAGTTCTCAGAAACGCATGTTATATTAACTTATATTTTTAATCTTTTCAGGTAATGAAAAGCAACATCAATGAAAAAACAATTAAAATGTAAAGTTTTAAAAATCCACAATTTAAGACTTTTGCAGCACATACTTGTACATAGGAATTCTGTTTTGAAAAGAGATTCTGAAAGTGGCAGCATCAGGTTCTGTCTTTACCCTGCCACAATGACTTGTTGAACTGACAAGCCCAGGATAGGGCTGATGGACTGTTTCAGCAGAGCCAACTCTTTTCTTGGCTCACGGACAGTTATAATTATGTAAAATGTGCCCTCGCTGCCCTTACTGATGAGGTTTCACAACTCAAACTGTGGGCAGAACCTGCAGCTAAGACTAAGTCTGCAAAAGTGAGAGATGAGCCAACACCAAGAGGAGCTTGGTTCACTGCACTGCTTATCAAGAGATGAGCAGAGTGGTGGTGTGCTTCTGCCGTGCATGACAGCTAATATCGTTCTCAAAAAAAGTGCCATTTTTAAATTCCATTTTCAGAACAGAACCACGAATAGACTACTGGTGAGAAACCCATTATCCCTCCCTCCAGCTTGTATGTCTCACCCCTTCTAAACATTAGGAAAAAAAAAAAAGTATAAAAAAACTTGTGGGAAAAAAGAAAGAAAAATAATTAAACAAAAATCACAGAGTCAAACTGCTGTTGCACTTTGAATCTCAACTTCATCCTCCCTAAAACTGTTTTTAGAAAATGAAATGCAATGTCATTATAATATCACCCCTTCCTCTCCTTGCCCCCCACTCCATGAGTTTGCTGATTCACTATTGGCAGATTCACTAAGATCAAATGTCAGGCATGTAGCACTGGTTCATGTGGCATAAGAGCTGCCTTAAGTGACCACATGAGGAACTGAGAGAAATCAGTTGCCAGATCAGTGTGTTTGTCTCACAAGGGAAAAGCAGAACTGTACTCATTATACTTTCATTACACTCACTCCTCAGACTGAATTTATTAAAAGGTCAGCTATCATATACTGAACTTAAGAACTCCAAATTCAAATTTTCTGGATGACTATCAGTCTGTGGTATCCCAACACTTTTCTCCTTTTCCCTGTTAAGAAGTGACAATTACACGCTCCAAGCATATCAAGCCTAGTCCAGTAATTCTGCCACTTTCACTCACTTGCTTATAAAAAGCTGCCACCACAGACTCCAAAGAGGAACTACAACTCATCCATCCAGAGATATAAGGTATCACATGAGATAAGAGTGGCAGAACTGAATGTGACATAGGCAAGATGATACTAAAGCATGAGTGACACAAACTGATCTTTGTGCTTGATCTTGAGCTTGGCTCAAGTCCTCTGTAAAGGTCTGAGTCTACCTGGCAGGTATAAACAGCGGGCAAGGTACTGCTCCAGCAGAAACAGAGCCAGGACTTTGTCCAAAGCCCACAGCAAAAATATTTCATCCACTTGCAATGGGCTTTAACAACCAAAGGTAAGGATCAATGATATTTCTGTGAGATTTTTTAACATTATTCATAATCTCCTCTACTTCTTGTGACTATATGAGGCACCAACTCGGCATGATGGGCTCATCAGACTAATTGCAAACCTCACTAAGATGCATAAACAGATCTCTGCACTAGTAGAGGGACAGAGGATCAATATTTTTCTTCAGCAGGGGACCAAAGTGAGCTGTGATTTCAGGTTATTGCCTAACAAAAGTTATTTCAAGTAACTTACAAGTTATTATATAAGTTACAAGTTATATATACATGCTTCTAAATAAACAGATAAAAGTAAATCCAAAATATGAAAAACTACAACTTAAGAGATCAGAACACCCACGTCAATATCAAGGAAATGTTTCCGTGCACTGTTCAAGGAAAGCTGTTGCTTGGCACAGAAAATGCATCCATGATCTTAGACTATAACAGAAGTAAAAAGACCATGCAAGAGCTAAAGTTATTGTAGAATAACAGTTTTCTTAATTTTTGCTTCATTTATTTTTATAAAGCTCCATATACATACAGTGCTAAAGTACATACCCTTTCTTCTTGTAGTAAAGTCACCTATGGTTTGTGAATCAGTTCGCTCTAAACCATGTGGTTTAGGTCTTAAAATTTTAGGACTTTGACCTAATTGGTAAAAAGAAGACTCTCTTAATAATATTCTATTTGTAAGTGGAAAATTGGAATTTTGTCAACAAACAGCACAACCCCCTGCAGAAAGATTAATGCCACAAGCATAAGCAAGCTGCTCAAGGAGAGTTTTACAGTCTAGCTGAGGCTCACACTAAGGGCTTAAGCACCAAACCAGAAACAAAGAAAACACTGCATGCAAGTAATATGTTGGAGGCAAGCGTAAAAAGTGTACAAAAAGGCTAAAAAGTGCATCAACAAATACTGTAAATAATCAGTACTATTAACTGGTTTCATTAAAAAAAAAATCGTATTTGAGGGGTATTGAGCATGAAAGGGGAATAGTCATGTTTCAAATGCAAGTTGAGGTACCCTCAGGGAAATTAAATTCTCCTTAGTCACAATATTCCTTTGGAAATAGTGAAAATCTTGGGAGGTCTCCTATTCACTGGGCATCTCCCACTTGAGATGTCCCAAGAATCTTTTTCAGCGATGTATTTGTTAAACTTGTTCCCTAGAGGTCTCCATCTCTCTGTACCAAAGAACCCCTCTCTGGCCCTGCAGGCACAGTGGGATTTTCTTTCCACGTTTCCAGCCTGCATACTGTCCCTCCACCACAGCACACCCCAACCTCCATCACAAACGACCCTGTCATGAAAATACCAATAAGCTCCCAACAGACACCAATGGAACCCCCCTGCCAAAAAGGGTATTCTTTAGCCAACATGACCAAACTCTGCAGGTGTTCCAGGTCACATTTTAAATAAACACGATCAACAATGTGTAATAGCCCTAAGCTTCCATTAAAGTCTATCTGAAAAGGTGTTAATATCAAAAAAGGTGAATGCCTTCAAGAGGTCCACCAAGAAGCCTTCTGAAAGGTAAATCTTTTCAATAAATCAAATGAAAAGTTTAAATCTGATAATGTAAGAAAATTGCCCTACAGCACAAAATGGAAAAGGACTGGTACAGACTCAGATGTGGGCTGGTACTCCCAGCAATGAGTGAGAATGCTTTTTAAAAAAATAAACTTGGCAACAAACACAAGAAGTTTGCAAATCTCTACCCCAAGTGTTTTGCATATGAAATGCTCTATTACTGTTATCACTGAAGTATTGGGAATAATCAAATAACAACAAGAAAGGTAAACACAAAGGTTTTATACTGCATCTTAACTTCTACACAGTGCTTCTGAGAGACCATGCAGGTAAGATAAAATTTATTTATTTACTAGTAGTGCTGCTTAGTAACTTCCTTAAAAAGAAAAGGACATGGAATTATTTTGACATAGACAGTTCTTTCCCAATTTCAAAATCAGATGCTCCCTTAAATGGCTCGATGTGCCGATGGAAAGGGTGAGCAGTTGGGCAATGCTGACCAAAGACACAGATTGCAAAGTGGAACACAAAAGTATTTCTGTACAGTGTACTGTTGACTGGAGCCAAGTTGAAAGCACGGTCCAACATGTTGGTGTACTTAATTCTGAGCTGAACCAATACTCTTAAGTACCTTGCCTACAACTCTCTGATAAAAGCTGGCCTATATAAAAAGACCAGGATCTTAAAATCGATTGAACAAATGTAGAAGTTCAAATGCAAACACCTCTTATTAAGAACAATTTGATGCTCAATATCATTATGTGATCATATTAATTTTGTGTTCGGTAGTTTTAAAATCTGATTTAAAAGAAATCTGGCCCAATACAACTCAACTTAAAATGCCAATCAATTGACATATGAGCACAGATCATAAGTACAGTGAGAAAACTAGCAGAGGTAAGAGAGTTAATGAAATTATTTAAGCAGTGTGTACTTTATAACCTCTGTTCTTATAACCAAACAGACTGAAGTGCCTGAAACCCGTAATACAGAGATAAGCTCAAGGAACTCATGCCTGTGACTCATTATTTCTACTTATGTTAATGATGCTACGTGGTCTCGTGCAGCCAACCTTTCTGAACTATGATTAACCCTATTTGTAAAACATGGATATTATGTAACTGCCTGCTTCACACTTAATTTAGCACTTAAAAACCACTCCAAGCTTTTCAGAAGTACAGGTCCCTATAATACTTCTCTTCCACATCAGACATAAACATACAAAACACACCGAGCTTTCATCTCTTCCTGCTGGAAGACTGTTCAACCTCAATAAATGTCATGGCAAAACAGCTTGCTGCTACCAACCAGCCAGGATAGTGCAATTCCTGAAGCTTAATATGTCACAGAGAATTAAAATATTTGGGCAGGGTGTTTTCTTTTTCCTCCCTGCAAAACAAAAACCCAAAAGGCCTAATCTCCGTTCAGGAGCTTATACTGTGTAACAGGAAAGACCTGATACCGGGCAAAGGAAAAGGGGAGGGAAGGGGGGGGAGATCAAAATCACAAAACTGAGATTATGTATTTGTTTAACTGCAGAATTCCTATATCCCCTTTTTTGCCCATTTAAGAAGATCAAGTGACACGAGCTAGGGCACTGAAAGCCCTCAATAATATCCCTTACTGCCTTCAAAAGACAGAATTTTCCCCAAGAGCACCTCTGAGAAGCAACAAGCTGAATATAATGCAGAGGAGAAAGTGCCTCATCCAGCACACTGATCTCCCTCATCTATCCCCAAATAATCACTAAAGGTAAGTGTCACAGGGCTGTTCTTCAAATCAGCACAGTGAAGGTGGAAGGACAGTAGGGCTCTATGGAAAGCCTGGCTCTGTACAGCATTCCAACGCCAGCAATACAGAGGAACGCATTTCCTGTGGTTCCCACAGGCCCAGATTTACCTCATCTCACGTTCAGGCATTCACAAAAAACAACACTTTTAACTTACACACCTATTCTGGGAAAGATAAATCCAGGGTTAAAAAAGAAAAAAGGTTTTATTTATGTAATTTTACTTTTTTTTAACCGAAAAGGAAATAAATTATGTTGCAACACCACTGGATGCAAACCTACAAGGGGAAAAAAAAAAAACCCTAAATAAATTATGTCAAGTGAAACCAACCAAACAAGAAGTGAAAATTAGATGTTTTCACTGTTCAGTCAAGTCACCGCCTGTGAAATGCAAAATGCTACAGCCAGGAGAGAGAGAGAAGCTCAGCCTCTGCACGTTCTATCAGACGAACAGTGCACAAGGGCACTCTGAGCTGAAAAATCACTAATGAAGTCTATTTTTCTAATAAATGGCTGCTTGTACAAACTGCCAGGCAGAACAGGCGATGGTGGCTCCAGCATTAGAGCGCACTCAGACGCATGAATTCTGCTCCTGGCATTTCGGTGCGTGTCAATGCTGCCTTTGTCTGAGAAGTCATCAGGAGAAGAGTCCATTTCACATGTTTGATTTGGTTTCAAATAACGGTTCCAACTGAAAAACCTTTCGGGTTTTGCATCGGCTAATGTATTCTCTTGTTGTTTTCCATAAAACACTTGGAATATAGTGTTGAGGGGAAAAAACGGATCCCACTGCAGCGAATTCCTGCATCGATGTAGGTGGGTCCCAACGTTTTTGTGGACGTAACACTGAAGAGCCTCATTTGTTTTCAGGCTATTGCCTCGAAGCAGCAATACTGAACGTGACTTCTGTTAAGGACACTTCTTTCTCGACTGGCTACTTGTTCCATGGCTTGCTGGTGAGGGATTGTACATCAGGAAATTGCAAACATCCTCACAGAAGAGGCCAACTCTATTTAAATATCAGCTATTTAGGGCTTAAAATTTTAAGGGAAATATACTAACGTGACATAAAATTTAAGAAATGTGTGATCTGTTAATGCTGTTTCCTGGCCAACAGGAGTAATCCACATGAGACAAGAAGATCAGACATAGGAATGTTAGAGCAGTGCTCTACTTGGAATAGCAGGGGGAGAGCAAAAGTAAAAAACAGCTACATAAGTGCCCTGCATCCACAAAAGTACTTTCAGAGAGAAATAACAGCAGTTTCTTGTTTCCATTAAAAAATACACATCTTTCCCCCTTTTCTTTGTTACTAGAGGAAACCGAAATTTGCACTGAGGTCAAAGAATTCCCGTACTCAGAATCACTGTAGATTTTTCCTTGGAAAACAAGGCTGAAACTCACTGTCTTACTCCCACAGGATTTATTATTTGGTTTTCAATTCTGCAGAATAAACTCCTGCTTTCCTTCTCTTCCTCTTCCTCACCCTAGTGAACTCTGATTCCCAAGTACATGGTCTTCAGCACAGAGCTCTACAAATATCCTGAATTTGCTTTTTTATCTCTGTTTTTATAAGACTATTTCCTGCCAAGGTACTTCTAATTAGAAACATGTATTTAGTTATACAACATTCAAATGGATTTCCATAGTAATATCCACCATCAATCATGTGCTTTGTTCTGGTCAGTGATGTGACATGAATGGTGATAACTACAGCCTCTTTAGGACAGCAAAACCAAACTGAAATCAACTTATTCTTCAATATTATGAAATACAAAAAGCAGTCACCTAAAGAGAGGCTCTCCAGTTTTCTCAGACATCTTTACCTTCTCAAAATAACTTTTCTCAGAGAACTGGTACTTTGAATGCTCCAGAAATTAGGAATGAATCGGAAAAAAAAATCTGATTATGAAGAAATCCAACTGGATGTGACAGCTAAGGTTCACTGGTATTCCTAAAATATTTGCCAAATGCCATGAAACTATTCAGAGAATACCAAAGCTATTAATCATCAAAATACTATTTGACTGCTCTAATTTGTGAGTAACTCTACATGTCTGTATTTTAAAATCCCCCAAAGCATGATGAACTAAAAGCATTCAATAACAAAGTACAGTGTTCTGGAGTGTTTATTGATCAGCAGTTCAAACCTGCACTAAGATTCATTAAGTGCAAAGGACTCCAAAAACAAAACACGAAAAAAGTAATGGAATTTAACTTGTTCACTGGAAAAGTAAAGCCTAACATTAAGCCTATAAAAAAAGCCAAGGGAACAGCACGACAATATGTGCATCAAAAACTACATTTTCCTAAAAGAAAGCAATAAGCAC